TCTGGTTCACACTGAGAGACACAGGTTTTAAAAAATGGTGTTTGAAATGAGTTAGAGATCCACCCGCCCATATCCCCAGAATTACTGGTTAGTGGAGCCTTTTGGCCCAATTGGGCAGACCGCGAGGTAGTGATTGAGAGAACCACATAAAAACACTCGCGGGTGCGAAAATGTCATTCCCGCTCCTCCAGAGAGAGCTTTGAGTGACCAGTTTGCATGGGTCCGACCTTGTTAATCAAGATATCCAGAAGAGGTGAAGGTAGGTGGACACGGAGGTGGTGAGGAGTTAATCCGTGACAAAGAGTCTTGGTGTAGTGACCAGTGTCCTGGAAATGGGAGCTGCAGGTAACTTGAGTGAGGGTCCCATGAGTTGACTACAGTCACAAGGAAACTGAGGTATATGCAACACAGAAACAACGAGCATGATGCAGTGCTGCCTGCTACTGGCAGAGAAGAGATGTGGATGCTGTTCTTAAATACTGTACTATACTGTTGATTGTCCTGAATCTCCATCAGGTGAGCTGAGCAGTTGGACTGACAAGTGGTCCGCCCAGAGGTGAATACACAGGGAAGTAGAAAAACACAGACAGCTCACCCAGACCATGACAGTGCCTAACTTAAGGGATCAAACCAGTAACTTAGCAACAATTTAGCAACAAACCTATCTTAAATTCTAACTTTAGCCAGTTTATGAGCCTGTTGTAATCATTGTAATCATCATCAAGTGCTGCTCCCACCAATGGTAATTTGGCAGACAGAAAATAGAACTTTTTGCATTATTTGCACCTTTTTACAATGTGACTTCTAAAGAGCTATTACCCCAAACATTGGCATATCTCAGCATTTTGTGCAAAGTGTCCTTAAAAACAGAAGAAAAGAGAAGTGTGACAAAGTCAGCACCTGAAGGACATTGCCTTCAGAAATTGTGCTCTTCAGTTGATCCTTCTACTGTTTACTGAGGCACATGAAAAATGATGTATTTGCATGTTTCAACAAACTGCTGCACCCATTTCCCATTTTCCCAGCAAAATAATAAGAAATGAGGGGTGGATTAAGATTTTCAGTACTGTTCTTTTAATGACCATTGACATGCAAAGCTTAGCTTTCCTGAAGCAGCTGAAATACATATTTAACAAAATGTCAGCTGAATATTTTTTGGTTCACAGTTTATTTTACAGCTGCAGATAAAGATATTAAAACTCTTCTTTCTGTGTTTTACAAAATATTATTTGAAGGGCAAGAATAAACTCTAAACCATGTTCGTATAGTTAATTAAAAAAAAGCTAAAACATAACATGAGATGTGGAAAAAAATAGTTCACTAAAATAAAAATAAAAACTAGACTTCTGAGTTTGATTGGTAAAAATGTGGTTTAAAAAAAAAACGTTATTAGAACTTGCCTGCTTTGACAGATGTGTTTCTTGAGACTCTGTGTGTCTACGAGACTGTGAGCTAACTGCTTTCATAATAATGTGATATTGTGTTTGCGTTTTTATTGTCATACCTGTAATAATTTTCCTAAATTGGGCCTCTGATATATGTCCTCAATACAGTTAGAAAAAGACTAAAACTAAGACTGAAACGAATAAATAATCAACTAAAACTAAACCTTTTCAAACAATAAAAACTAAAGTGAAATAAAATCAACTCTGTAAACTAAACTGAATAAAAAGCAATAGTCAAAATAAAAAATAAATAAAGTAAATAACAGAAAAAAACTACAATAACTCAGCTCTGAACCTCTACTGAGATATCACCTTGGATTTCATGTTTCTTTTAAATAAAACAATATATTTAAAGTCAAGACAGAAACTTGAGACATCGCTACATACATTACCTTTCTGGGTCAACTTCACATGCTCTGCCACGTTCTCATACTCTGCCAGTTCCTGGAGGAAAAACATAAATAGGATCAGCTGCCATCATTTATTAGGACTTCTCAGCCAACAATAAAAAACATTATTTACAGGGAGTTTATTAGCCTGTTTGCAATAAAACTAACAAGCAGGACAAGCACAGGTTATCCAATAATATCTCAGTAATCTAATAATGACTGCAAAGTTGTGTTTTTAATACGCTCAAACATGTAAAATTAGATAAACATGTAAAAACATCAACAAAATAAGGCACAACAATTCTAATTTCCACATTTCAGTTTTTCACAACATAAAGCTTTTTTAACCAACACCTACAGTAAATCATAGGAATATATGAACATTGCAAACCATTTCCAGTGACAAGATATGCTGTAAACTTTATATTCATCTTTGATCCGAATGGCACAGCAGCCTCAGAGAAAACATTTCAATGAGGCAACTTCAACATATGTTCATACAAGGTTGCTCACTTTACCATAAATTGTATGGGTGTGCATTTTTTTCTGCATATTTAGCAAAAATGTGCCATTTCTTCACTCAGTGAAGTGATGGTTAAGCTTCAGCAGCAGTTTGCTCCCATGTTTCTTTCTGTGAAGCTGTAACTGTTTAGCAGTGAACAGGAGTGCTGCCTGACTAAAAAGTCCTTCACAGGCTCCAGATGCAGGAAGAGCTATATTGATTTTGATTGACAGCTTCTTGATGTGAGGAAAGCTATGCAATAGGTCCAAACCTTCAGTGAATGGACATGAATGGTACCTCTCCAGCTCCCCTGCTTCTGGCTTTCCTGACCCCATGTATCCAAAAAAAGTCATCTTTGTCGGACAGGCTGCTGTTTGTGCTGGCTAGTGATGTGTCGGTCACGAAGGAAACGACTCTTAGAGCCGGATCATTGACCTGAACGACGCGAGCTGGTTCCTTATTGGGAGCTGTGTTTCTTTTTTTTTTCCCTTTCTCTCACACTCTCTTTCTCACTTTTTTCGCTTCATGCTGCACATGAGCCTTGTGTTTGTGCTGAGCAGAGGGGGGAGGGGCGGTAGTTACAGTCGAAGTAGCACAAGAACAGAGCAGGACATAGAGAGAGAGCCAGGGGCGACAACAAGAGACAACATCGTCACATTAGAAAGGTATAGTAATCATCCACAAGTATTTTCAGTTGCGGATGATAAA